GTGAGAGTCGTAGGTCTTGCAGATGGAGTAACCTACCAGGACAGGTGTAGGGGACAATTGAACGGTACAAGGATCCTGGCCTGACACTCGAATAATCCTGACCACTTGGGAACTATAGTGTACACAAGAATAAGGCGGGACACACCAACACTAACACCTCAACACGGAAGACGAACGGGGGGAGGAGTACTGAATAATTAAGAGCACTAGGTCACTAGGGCAAAGGGGACGGTAGGCCCAATATCACTAAAGCAAGGAACCATTAATACACATTTAATAACACTTAATATCTGACTTTATTTGAAATAATTAAATAAGACACTCCCTAACTATATTCCCTACTAGAGGCCAAGGGTACTGAATGAGGTGCTTTAGTACAAGAGAGCCGTACTTACTCGTATGTTGTTCCACAGTTTCCCTGGAGATGATGTTCTTTCCCAGAGTCCACACACACCTCCCTACTGGGCTGTGCCCACTCAACTAACTCTCCTGATCTACTGCTCCTCAGCTGAACATGAGGGTTTTGCATTTGTTGTTTAGGGGTTAATCCCTGAAGATTACCATGACGGCATCAATTCTGACCTCTTTGTGATTCGATGACCGTTGACCTGACTCTATGGCTAACTTATACAGAGGTGTAACTTTTACATTGTCTGCCGCCGCCTGTCTGGCGCCTGTGGGTTGTTCATCCTCCACGTGGCCTGTTCATGCTGTTATGATGTTCATGTACTATGTACTGCTCTCTTGTTACAATCCTGCCGAACCAGCTGCTGCTGCTTGCTACAACGTTTTCATATTCACATCTGCTTTTCAATGAACACATTTTCCATTCTGTGACCTTCCTTTTGTTGCAACCCTCTTTACCATTTCTTTATTCTCACTGGGGCATTCTTGAATTTTTTTCCATTTGTCCTTATTTCTCAGTGCAAGCAGTGATGTCTCCTTAACTTGTGCAATAGTACAATCAGAATGTAAAACTCTTTCCTGAATGTTCTCAAGTGCCTCTTCAGAAATTTCCTAATTTTTGGAATTTTAAAATATCTAAACAAGATCTGGCATGATGATACATTCAAGTAATGAATGTTCCCAGATGTCACAAAACATCAAATATATTAAAATTTTGCAGTACAGTACTGTACTTGTCGATCTGAGGAAGAAAAAATGCAGTAATTATAGTTATAAGGTTATACAGTACTGTACATGAATAGGCAGTACTCTAAGGTTGGCATTGGTTGTCCACTGAAAGTACAATTGTAGGAGAAGTAAAGAGCTGACCTTCCCCTCATTAATGAGTTTGTATTGTCACATTCACACTACAGTGCTTTGGTAATCTGCTACATTTTTTCCACCTCTATACTGTCTCATCACCGAATATGGTTGAATCAGTAAGAAATATATACAGTAATAACATTAGGAAAAATAAATAAATAAATAAAAAGCAAAATTAGTTACAATTTCATTTTTTTTTGTCTATTATAAACACATGTGCCAGACATCTAAACTACTCTGTATTATCAGAAATTAATATTATGGTAAAATATATACCAGCTTACTTTCAATAAGATTAACTAACCATGGTTTTAATATATGCAATTAATTCTATACACTATGGCAGCGGTTACTATGTCTCACGAGTCAAGTGTGGTAAAACCTATTCGTGTACTGTATTTTCGTACATAAACAAAATGATGTAAATGGATACCCGTCTCATAATACAACGAGGAGACAAATCCTAAATCTCTCGGTCCTGGTAGGTGATCCTTAAAAGTAACATTATCCATCTTTCACTTTATTCTTTAATACACACACAGAACAAGTTCTTAGGCTTTAAAGAACTTAAAGCTTACAGCACCTTTGTGTTAAATCAATTAAATTTTGTGACTCAAAGGTTCCCACCCCAATCCTGTCCTCTTAATTACGTACATCAAAAAAGCAAGGAACAAGAAAGACTACAACCAGCTGGCTAAACCAAAAACTATATAAATGTTAGACTGCATATTAAAAAAACAAAAAACATACAGGGTCATTACATGTTTTTTTTTAGATACTCTGTATGTACAAAACACACCTGTACATAGCTGCGATTGGACACACTTGTATTGCTGTGTTATGTAGGAGTTATAGAAGCCACTGACATAACAGGACAAAGCTGGGAGGTCTTTAGAGTATCATGGCTTCACATAACATATTTATGGCACAAAAATAGGTAACAAAAATGAATGAAGATTACAGTGGTGTAATTACAGCAGTTGCACATAACACAAGCAACAGTCACAAGCACAAACACAAGTTACCAAAGTAGTAATCCTAGATCTAAATATTCTACTTCATCCATATCTCATATTTTGAAAATGCAAAATTCTAAAGAATTTTTACAATTTTTTTTTTTGTAAATTTAAATTCAAATTTAAAACTTAAAGAATTTTTACTAAAATACGAGGGTAAACTAAAGTAAGTTTGATATATGGCACAGTAGACCAATATACATAAATAGATTTAATGGATCATTTCTTATTTAAATGCTTGTGTTCTTGATGTTCTCGATACAAATGATGCGCAAATAAAAAAATCACAAACTACATCAAATTTACAAATGACACAAAGATCTATGGTAAAGCGGAAGCAAAAATAATATTGAGGCCTTGCAAAATGATCTAGATGAACTCCACAAATGGTCAGAATACTGACAAGTACTTTATAAAAATGAAAAATGCAAGACCTTACACATAAGGTATAACAATGCACATAACTGCCATATCAACAACAAGACCATGTAGCAGTGTGATGAAGAAGGGAATGATGATCCACCAGTCATTGAAAGTTGCACAAGTGGGAGCTGCAGTAAAAATGTCAGCCATACCTTATAATAATCAAACAAATCTTTGACTTCAAGAAAAAACCAGCGTTGAATGTAATGAAACGCCATTTTCTGGGTGAGCCCTGGAGACTCCTAGGAGGTATCGGACTGATATATACTATACTGTATTAGTCTGCGGCATCAGTCAATGCAGTTCTGCCTACCGGGGACCATAAGCCAGAACCTGGCCCCCTCAGAGAGGCAAAGCGAGCAATGGCCTATGGAAACCCCCCATGTGTTTGGGTTCATTCCATGTCTGCCATCGACCAGGGGTTAGGCACCCAGGAAGGTAGGCTTAACAAAACAAACCCCAACTGGTAAGAAACTGCAACCGAAGACCGAACAGACACACAGAACTCCCCCAAAAACATAAGAAAACAAGCAAATGTTTTTCGCCGCCGTGCCACTTGTCCGTGCAACCCTCCCCTCCCCTCCCCGGAATGGGTAGGGCTCACCCCCCTTAGTTTGGGGGGTCAAACAAATTTCAAAACGAAACCAGAGGGTGGGAGGGTGCCAGGAAGCCTCCGGGGCTCACCCAGAAAATGGGGAGCCCCGTCGGCTCCCTGGAGCTAACTACCCAAAAACAAGTTAAAGAGGGACTTACCTGGGAGGTGGCTGCCATGTGCACATCAACTCGAAGTCGAGACAACTGTCTGCAACTTGTGATACAAAGCCACACATGAACGACCGGGACCAGGAACAATTACGAAATAAAGGGTGTGACCAGGACCTTGTTCAAACTCCAAAACCCCTGTGCCGAATGCCAGCCCAAGACATGTTACCAAACACGGCAGCTAAAGCAGCATAGTTATTAACGTCATGGGCAGGAGGGTATACTGCAGACTGGCTAGGCTTAATAACCCTGCAGATGACTTGAGAAACCTGAGCCCTGGAACAGGGAATGAGGAAAATCGGGTCAACCCAAAGCGAGTCCACAGCCACAGAGGCAGAGGCGCTCAGGTAATGATGGAGAGCTGCAACCCGGCCTGACCGACCAAGCTTCAATGACCCAAGGGCCCCCTGCGGAAGCCCACCGTTTCGTTCTTTGCCAGAAAAAACCTTGGCTATAATTTGCTGGTTCCTGGTACCAGCAAACGATACCATTTCCTACCCAAGGCCAAAGGCACGTAAACCCCAGCTAGCCCCAAGGGCGGGGCAAGAGCCGAGCGCCAAAGACCCACCTACAGAAGCAGTTCACGAAAGTTCTATGTACGGGAACCCTAGAACCCAAGGGTAGTACTTACAGGGCTCCCAGGGAAGAGAACCCTGAGTGCATGCAGCCTCAGTACTATTCAAAGTACACCTGGCCACCATGCCTCACACACAGCAGAAACACATCACATAGGCACACATCTGCACAGAAATTTTGAGGCCAGAGGCAATGTCTGCTCCATACCACATCAGCCAACGAACTGGATGGCTTGGGTAGCTAGCATGGGGGTCCAGGGCACCTCCTCCTGGGGAGGGGGGGGGGGGAGCTGCACTGAGAGGCGGCGCAATGGTGACGTGTGACATTTGCTTGTTTCCTTAAGTTGTAGGGTGAGTTCTGCCTCTTTGTTCGGTTTTCGGTCGCAATTTCCTACCTAGTGGGGTTTGTTTTGTTATGCCTACCTTTCTGGGTGCCAACCCCGGTCGATGGCAGACATAGAATGCTCCTACCCACATGGGGGTTTCTATAGGTCATTGCTCCCTTTGCCTCTCTGAGGGGGGCCTGGTTCTGGCTCATGGTCCTCGATAGGCTGAACTCCAATTGACTGATGCACCAGACTAATATAACACATATCAGTCTGATAGCTCCAGGGTGCAGCAGGGACTCCCCTCAGAAAAAAATAGGTGTCATGTTACTTCTGATAAAAAAGTGCATTGGACATGTAATTACCTAAGTGTAGTTACAGGATGAGAGCTACAGTCATGGCATCCTGTCTTCCCAGCACACTGTCATATAAAGCTTTGAAATTACTGACGGTTTTGGCCTCCACCACCTTCTCATGTAACTTGTTCCAACCGTCTACCACTCTATTTGTGAAAGTGAATTTTCTTGTATTTCTTTGGTAGCTTTGTTTAGTTAGTTTAAATATATGACCTCTTGTTCATGAAGTTCCACGTCTCAGGAATTCTTCCCTATCAATTTTATCGAATCCTGTTACTATTTTGTACATAGTGATCATATCGCCTCTTTTTCTTCTATCTTCGAGTTTTGGCATATTTAATGCCTCTAACCTCTCCTCATAACTCTTGTCCTTCAGTTCTGGGAGCCATTTAGTTGCAGCCAGAACTGACATCATGCAGTGATATGATGAACGCGCAGACGTCATGCAGAACACAGCACGTTAATTCATATTTTTACCTATACTGTATGGACACCATGTAGCACATATTACTCCTGATAAGAGAGATTATAGTACATATATGTATGTACTATACATGTATGCATATATGTATACACTTTATATACAATTCTAAGTGTTACATTTACATATACATACTGTACATTGTAATATAATGAAATACAGTAATTTAAACTTACTACTGTATGTGAACACGTTGTAAAAGTGAAATATGAAGAGATGAGAAGATATGATGCATGTAATATATGACTAAATAAATAGCAGCAACATAATAATTTTGATAATGGGCACCATTAAAGTGCTCTTGGGGTTCCAATACATTACTATACAGTATACAGTGTCACTTCAATGGTCTCCATGTTATCGTGTTTAATCAAAGGTACCATAATTGTTATATAAAAGTAATACATGTACTGTATTATAAATGGCACTGTCTTATTACTTTACTGTATGTACATGCTTGTATTTCCCAGTATTCAATTAATAAAAATACCATGATAATAAAATATTTAAATTATATTTTGTAAAGAAGTCGTTAGACTAGTATAATACTGATAAGTCTTAACATTGACAAGAAATATGACTAGAATTCTGATCAAGAAATTCTGAACCTCCACCGTCTAGGTACGTGAAATCTATACTATTTCCGACATGCTTCACGATATGAGACTGCATTAAATTCCTTAAAATATAATTCTGGTCTGATGTATGTCTCAAGTTTGCCAACACCACACAGACTTATAGTTCCTCGTTTTACGCTGCCAGATTTCAGTTGTTTTATTGTAAAACTATCACAAAACGGAATTGACTTTGTAATGTCTTTTCCATTGTAAACAAGGCGAAAGAAATAACTTGCACGATATTCTGAATTTTGTGCAACAGATGAATTGCGATACAGTTCCACTATCAAGCGAGAGGCATAATATGGAAGTTGATAATTTGGGACAGCAAGACTGTCAAGTAAATACTTGAGGGTTTTGTCATGGCCCGAGTAAATCACTACACGAGGCTTAGCGTCTCCAATCATTCCATCCATGGTTGCTATAATATTTTTCAACAAGCCATAAGACCTTAACTTTGCAGCCTTACGTTGTGCTGAAGTGCGCTTTTGTTTTCCTTCCCACTCTTCGTATGATATAAGACTTGTGACATCTTCCACTTTAACACACTTGTCATTATTACAGGGTAATGTTGCACCATGGCAAACATAAGAGAGAAGTGCATCTCGCATTACTAATGGATTCACAATATCTTCAGCTGATGGATTTGCCTTAATTAACGGGTTAATACTACGAACAAGATCAACTACACCAGGGTGCGATTTGCGGTAATCCTTACGTTCCTGGTCATATTTCTGATCAAAATAATCAGTCTTCTCACAGCGACAATCATTCTCACAAAAGCTAACTCCTTTTCCTTCACGCATGCGAATTTTCGAGATATCAAAATTTGGAATGAATGAATATAGAAATGCAAGAACACTCTGAAATGTGCGCCGATACTTTGTGCTATAAATAACTATATCATCTAGTTCTTGCTTGTTGCCCAAAAGATTGAATTCGTAGAAATATATCTCTTTCAGAATCTTTCCCAGCTGTAAATGCTGAAGAACACCCTGCGGAGTAAGATGTCCAATACCACATTTCGATGGCAATGGCAGTAATGGATACTTCATGAACGGACCAACAAAATTGATGTAGGAATTAGTCTTGGAAACATTCAGGATATCACTAACATATTTTTTATAAACTTGTGTGCCATAGCTCTTGTAGCCACAATTTATACTAGACAGATTTCTCACGTGTAGCAAGGGACCTCTGTCACCATGGCGGAGAACAATCATCACTCCGCTCAGTTCATATTGTGGAGGCAAGACACCTGTAAAGACACGCTTATTACAATATATCACAATCACATGCTTTACAATATCCACAATAGCATGTGCAAATTAACACTTTCGCGCTTTAGATTAGAGATAACTCGTCACCGTTTTTTCTTACGATTCCGCATAACAGCCTACTTTTCTAGTCCATCGAAAAAATATTTCTATAAATTCCATTTTTTAACCGAAATGGATGGGGATACTCTCAGATTTTTCTCCATGAAATTCCCGTTCTCCCTCACCGAACACATGGCATCAGGATCAGAAGCCTGAAGATGGTGGAGTGAAGAAAAAATGCTCAACTGTTGATCTTCAATCAACATAGACAAGGTAAGTACACCTATTTGGAATTTTTTATCATCTATAAGAAGTTATATTATATACGTTTTGTAGAGAATTTATTTGCGAATTTTTTGGTACCAGAATGAATATTATATCATATAAACTTCTATGAGTAAAAAAAAAAAAACACAAAGTATGTTTGGGGGTGTGGCGGGTGCGGCTCTGGGTGTGGCGGGCGTGTGGCAGTGGGTTCCCTTTAGCCGTTGATATATCCAACACGTGGGAAATATTTGTATGTGTTATGTATATGTCTGTGTAGGGAATTTTACTGCGATCACTGTCATACAAATTATAAAATGTTTCAACAAGTATAAACATGACAAACATCAAACGAACGAAAACAATGCGTTCGTTTCCGCCGCGAACGCATACTGAGCGACGTGGTTCTATATTTGGCGCTTCTCTTACACATGCTTTGTACAAATGTTATACATTTCATCTTATAGAAAATTTTATTGCGAACACATTGGTATAAAAAAGAAATACGTACATAGAAAAGTAGGGTCAGGAAACGTATAAATGTATAAACTTTCCAAGCATGATTTCCCCCCTGTGTTTTCGCCAGTGCGCTCGCGGTTAACTACTCTCCACTTCACACACTCTTGCGGGTGGGCAATTACCTATATTAAACATTCATATGCATATGTCCGTGTAGAGAATTTTATTGCGATTCCAATGATACCAAAATTAGCGATGTAGGACAACTGTAGGCTTCGCAACCATTAAGAGAGTGGAAACATTTTGTTGCTGTTTGGCGCTCTCGGCGAGTGATCTGCATAGTTTTTTATTTGGTGTTGATACTCCTTATGCTTGGGCGGCATTTTATAGGTATGCTCTTATAGACAATTTCATTGCGAACACAGTGATACCAAATTTAAATACGTGCGCCTTCAATTATTGTCAGGACAGTCAAAAGAGTGCACACTTTTTCGGTCTTACCGCGTAGGTGCGCGAAGTGCCGAAAGCATCTGGGGTATTGTTTTTTTTGAGCGCCGAGAGCGCGAAAGTGTTAACTTGCTTCAAAGTTCAATAGCAACAACACAACACATTTCATTATAAAAGCTAATTAACCTTTACTTTCTTATGAAAGAACAAATTACTGTACAGTACACTAAAAAATTCTAATGTTTATATGTTATATGCTAGCTCTAAAAGTAAAAACAAAGTAAATGAAACTGCTATGTTGATCTCTTCATGGTGTGGTAGCTGTGGGATAAAGGACAAAGAATAAAAATTTAAATACTTTACTATGACAAAAAATTACTTTAATAATTTGCAGAAAATAAAAATAGTTCCTCTATGACTTGGCTGAAAACATCGTGCAAAAATGAAAAGCAAACAAACAAACAATATACAGTGGAACCTCTATTAACGAGTTTAATCCGTTCTGGCACCGAGCTCGTTACCTGGAAAACTCGTCTTTGGAAACAAATTTCCCCATTTAAAATAAAGGAAATAAATTTAATCCGTTCCACTCCCAAAAACATCCATACTTGTATGACTTTTTTTTATGTAAATATAATACTGCACATGTAAATATAAAGGTTTTGTTGTAGTGTTTTAATATTTACTTTACCTTATGAAGAGTAGTTGCTGGCTTGAGGGAGACAATGGAGAGGTGGGAAGGAGGAGAGGGGTTATGGTGTGGAAGGAGAATCCACCTCTGAGTCAGGCGGACTCTCTCTTCTTGGGAATTTCACCCAAATTTCATTTCAAATGTCACACAAGGATGCGTTAGACCAGCACCAAATAAAAAACTATGTTGATTACACTCGTTGTGTCAACAATATAATAGTCTTGCCCCGAAGATACAATACAATGCCGTTTTCTCAAATAGGCAATGTGGTTATTAAAGAAAACGGAAATTTCATGGCAAACTTGTATACAATCCCCAAGTCGATCGGATAAGAATTGGATTTTATAGAAATATTTGCTCAAATGACGCTTGAGCGCGGTGTTTGGGTGCATTCAAGAGAAAAAAAGTGTGTTACGTTCAAGCGACATATACCTGCGAAAGTGATAACACTTTCATAAAGTGTTATCACAAAGTGATAAATTAATTAAACATTTTCACACACCGGGTTGTCACTGCTTTATCAGCGCAGCTTTTCCAAGAATGCGTTCACCTTTTCAAACATTCCAAACACTTCCCTGATCTCAGTTTAAGAGGCAGCATCCTCCCTTACCTCCTCATTCCCTTACTAATGGTGTAAATTGTTGATGAGGACCTGCCATACTTCCTTGTGAGATCAATCACACAGACACCACACTCATGCTTTGCTATAATTTCCTTCTTTAAATCCACAGTAATTGTGTCTTTCTTCCTCTTGACAACACTATCTTTAGCAAGTAGCTTCTTTGGAGACATCGTGTGTTACAAATTGTAGTCGCAAAACCACTAAAAACCCAAAGAAAAGCTCAAATAAATCCAGAGGAATGCTTGTCGTGTGAGATACAACAACAACACTGGTGTCGGAGGCGTCCGAGAATTTGCGAGAACCCGCAAGACGCTAGGAAGCGCCATGTGGTTTCACTCGTTAATAGAGGCGAGCTCGTCAATAGAGACAAATTTGCTGCGAGTGGCTTGCTCGTTACTGGAAAAACTCGTTAATAGAGCCACTCGTTAATAGAGGTTCCACTGTATATATATATATATATATATATATATATATATATATATATATATATATATATATATATATATATATATATATAATTATATATATATACTTATATGTCGTACCTAGTAGCCAGAACGCACTTCTCGGCCTACTATGCAAGGCCCGATTTGCCTAATAAGCCAAGTTTTCATGAATTAATTGTATTTCGACTACCTAACTTTTTCGGCTACCTAACCTAACCTATAAAGATAGGTTAGGTTAGGTTAGGTAGGGTTGGTTAGGTTAGGACATATATCTACGTTAATTTTAACTCCAATAAAAAAAATTAACCTCATACATAATGAAATGGGTAGCTTTATCATTTTATAAGAAAAATTTTTGAGAAAATATATTAATTCAGGAAAACTTGGCTTATTAGGCAAATCGGGCCTTGCATAGTAGGCCGAGAAGTGCGTTCTGGCTACTAGGTACGACATATATATATATATATATATATATTTTGTGACGATAATCTCTTTCAAGAGATTGAGCCTGCTCTTCCCTACATAATTACGTCAAAATACAAGATACAGTACTATATACAAGATACGTTCACCAAGTATTGCCAAACGTTTTGCCCAGAGAGCAAATCGTACCCCAACACCTGGCCACCGCCGTAACCAGCTAACTGCTCATCCTCTGCCTGCCTGTTGCTGATTGGCTGGTGTCCCGGCGCACCTGCCCTCCGCCACCACCACAAGTCGACGTCTGGGCTGCAGTGCGCCAGTCTCGTCAGAATATCTCAGTGCTCCATGCAGTTGACATCTCTCGCTGGTAGACTAAGCCTTGGCTTTCGTGTACTAAGGGAGGTGGCAGCTCGAAGCCAGTATTCCAGCACTCATATTTTATTTTGCTATCACTGTAACTTACTTGTCTTAGCGTAACTTTCATTTGCCAGTGATTATTCATGTTATTTTGTTTGTTGACTTGTCCTGCATATTTTTATGAGATTACCTTTATTCATGTCTTGTTTTCTAGAGTAATTAAAATTTCATTGTTTATATACTTGTGTTTTGTGTGTCTTCCCATTACCTTACCACAGACGAAAAGACCAACTTTTCTCTTTTTTTTTTGTCATGTGACGAGGCCCTGCCCCTAGCTTTTGAAACAGCCAAACACCAACGCTTTACCGTCACAATATATATATATATATATATATATATATATATATATATATATATATATATATATATATATATATATATATATATATATATTATATGCACACATATATATATATAATATGTTGTAACTAGTAGCCAGAACACACTTCTCGGCCTACTATGCAAGACCTGATTTCCCTAATAAGCCAAGTTTTCTTGAATTTATATATTTTTCTAAATTTTTTCTTATGAAATGATAAAGGTATCCATTTGTCACCAAAACCAATACAACACAGGCAACATGGAAAAAAAAAGTGGTCATCTCTTTCAATGTATACCATAACATAAAAAAAAAGTGTCCGAAGATTAGCGACTTTACCCTAGTGTTTGGATAAACTCATTTACTACTTCACTTAAATATTAATTGCAACCTAATACAAAATATCAGATCCTACAGTAAAATATTAACCTTCCTGATGTCTCTGTATGCGGTCTGGTGGGTTGCACTGGTGTCGTAGTTTTTTACTGCGGGGCTTCTCTTGCTGTACAGAAGTCTGGAAAGGCTGCGACCCGCTATTCACTTGAAGAGGAGGAGGAGCAGGGTGAGAAGAGTCTGTTTCCACTCTCCAGTATGACACTGGAAATTGATAAAAAGCAAGATATGGCTTCATTACGTGAGGATGATCAAGGAAGGTATACATGGATTGGTATACCTCATGTTATGGTGGAGGTGGGGTCCCTTGATTGTTTCAAGCGAGGGTTGGACATGTATATGAGTGGGAATGGGTTGGTTATAACTAGGAGCTGCCTCATATGGGCCAATAAGCCTTCTGCACTCACCTTGTTCTTATGTTATAAACAGGGTGGTTAAATGAGTACACAGGGGTGTAATAGCTGCATAGTTTATAATGAGCCCAGGCTGGTGTAATGAATACACTGCATTACAAGTTGATATAATGAGCACAGGCTAGTGTAATAAATACAATACAGGTGGGTATAATGAGCACAGACTGATGTAAGGACATTCCTTCAGGGATGAAATTTTTCTAGTGTTCTTTTATATTTCTGGGCTACAAACTCCATCTAATTTGTTTCTCTATTAGATCATTCTACCAAGGGACTTCTTGCAGGAAGGTCCTGGTCTCCTACACTTGTAGTCACCCCATCTGTGATTCATAATTCATTCCTTAATCTGGACACTTCCCTCATCTATATCCAATATTCAACAAATTAATGCAGTGGTCAGTAACAATCAATGGTCTCTCGAATTCTATCTCTTCAATGTTCGCCATGTTCTGGGCAAACACAGGGTCTTATGTGCACCAGGAGTGTGCATAAATATCAACTACAACATATGGGAAACTGGCAAACATATGAACATTAAAAACCAAAACATGAACTCTTTCAAGAACATTTATACAGCCTCTACCAAATCAATTCTAGAAAATGTAGCACCAACATGGAATCTGCATCTTGTGAAGCAATCCCAGAAGTTAATGAACAAACTAGAGTGTACTGCAAAAGAGGGATGAATAGGAGTGAGAGACTAGATCCGCATCATGTGTTATTATGCTGAGCATTTCATCTCCAGTTGTATATGACTGGAACGTAACATTGGCTGCCGAGGCATTTATCCACGGTGATATTTAGAATTTTATGATATTAGAAATTTTAACCAGCTAGTCTGAAGTTGTTTTGAGTTGATTATGCACTGGTAAAATTTTCATCCTTATTGGCAGAATCATTCAGTAGCTAGAGCAAAAACACTTATAGATGCACATATATGAATAAAGTGTTTTTGTAATTCTATATCACAACAATCAAAATAATGATTTTCATTAAAATCTCAAGATCAGTTTCTTTAAAATACTGCAGTAATGAAGAACATTATTTTGGTTTAAAACAATTGTTTAATGTTTTGAATATTTCAAAACATGTCAGACAATACTGTATATCAAAATCTCAGTGTGTAACCCCATCATAACAGCAATGTTGTACATCTTTACCGAGTACACATGTCCTTGGGAAGTAGTCTGCATGTGCTGCATCACCATAGCCGGAGGAAAACAATGCGAGTTACATTTTCAATGGAGAAGGAATAAGCATTTTTGTTATTGGCCGGTTGGAATGACTGGACCCATTGTTAATAAATAGAGATAACTGTAACAGTAGATCCTCATGTGTCTCTCCTTCAAATATGTAAAAAATTACAATAGAGTAGTAATCAGTCTTCCTACCTGCAGTTTTTGTACCTGCAAAGATTATATGATACAGGTACCAAAATTATTTCAGCTAAAAAAGTTCTCCAATATTTTTACATTAAATTTGCAAGTACTATAGTATTATAATATAAATACAGTACTTACAAAACAGCAGTATTATTCCCAGCCAGCCTAGGATGAGAATGTAGCATCGAAGCACTTTGAATTTCTTATGCCATCGCATGTTGTATCCACTAAATGACACTGCAATTACCAGATAAACCTGGGTATTAGTTTAAACCACTTTCTAGGGAAGTACATACACAATAGACACAAATCCTCTCAAAACTTTGAAAATATCAGAGTTTGTCTGCCTACAAAAAATTCAATGAAAAATGCACGTATACAGAGGAGACATAGTTGTGACATGAAATATTTTTAGGTTTCAACAGGAAGGACAAAGAAGGGCTGTTTGAAAAGGCTGGAACCAAAATAAGGGACATACAGTAATTGGAAAGTGAACACGTGAGTACATTTTTATACCTTCTTACAATATACCCGTAAACATTTTTAAAATTTTGCTAGAAATTACCTTCTGAAAATTATATGTTAGCTTAAGGATCTGCCTGAAATGCTATGCGTGCTAGTGGCTTTACAAGAAAGTAAAACTTCAATGCTCTGTACTCTCATTAACACTTTCGCCCGGGCATGAAGCAGCATTGCGTCATCTGTTTACTGTCGGTAATTCCGGGGATGACGCAGCATTGCGTCATCCACTTTAAATAATCGCCAAAAATCAGGTTTTTATTCGATTTTTTGGGGACTGGTTTTAAAATGCGCGCCAATGTCTTCCCATTTTCTTTGTTGAGCCTCGTGGCCCTCAGGCGGCTTGGCACATGCCGTGGGCCCATTGTTTTCGCTCCACTGTTGTGACCAATGTCGCCTCCCCTCGCCTCTCAAACGTGTGAACATTTTGGCTATTTTCCGTGGCTATATTTCTTACTGCGGCTTTAGAAACTATCTACGCTTACTCCACGATGGATAGTGATCATGAACAAGACCCTTCCAGGAAGAAAATTGCGAAAGAAAGGCTTGAAAAGAGCGGGAATTGGGAGTGTAGCTGGAAGGCGTCTGAGCGCTCAGTCCCGGCTAACGCGTGGCCCGTCTTCAACTCGTCGGCAGTTGGAGCGTGACCAGGTTTTTTATTTTATATGCTAATGTCCCTCTAGAGAATTCTATTGCGAACCCATTGAGACCAAAATGAAAGACCTAGGACAAAAATTGAGGTGACCAGAGTGAAAATAGTGAAAACATTATATCGCGTTAGCGCGCTCCTGGGTAACTCGTTCGCACTTTCTCTGTTTGCTGCGGGTAATTAGCCGGACTTTTGGAGTTTATATGCATTTAGTGCTGTAGAGAATTCTATTGCGAACACAATGATACCAAATTTAATCTCGTAGGACAAGAATTAAGGTGACAAAGTTGAAGAGAGTATACACTTTTCAGAATTTACGCACGCTCCCGTGACACCCTGGGTCCCATATCGCACAGTTGAGGGGTGGCGCGCGAGGTACGCCAAAGTGTTAACCAAATGTACCTTCCTGTATACATATAAATAAATAAATAAATAAATAAATGAAAGAGCAAGATTAAAATATAATACAGAAATTTCTTCACTGTATAGATGGTGAGAAACATAATAGGAGAGAAAGTAGGATACTGCAGAGAAGCGCACTCCATACCGTACATGGCTTCAAGTGACAATATGATAAAGCTCATTCGATTATTGAATCACACACAAAACCAAATGCTAAACAATGAACATGAATAGGATAAGTTTAGAGTAGGGAAAGACCTGGGTAAATAATGGTTTGGAAAAAAGGTATATTTTTCCATACTATTATTCATGTTGATTCATGGAACAAATTACTGGATAATGTCAACATGGGATCACTGTATTATTTTTTTAAGTAATAGTTTAGATACATCTGAATGAGTTTGAGTGGATTTAAATAGGATCCAACTGTAAAAGCCAATAGGATTTCTGCTGTATTTTTTATTGTTATACAGTATTCTTATGTTGAATTACTGGTTAAGAGCTGGGGTCAAGCTCATTGCCAATAAAAGTAATTAAATGACAACAATAAGGTCAATACAGAATACTGGAACACACAATAAAGCAGATTGTACATGCTTAATTTTAAACAGATTTTATCAGTAACATGTAAGATATAACAAGGATAGGTTTAGAAAATATACTTGGATAAATGGTAGGCCTAGTAGGCATATGAACCAATGATAAGAATGAAGAATGTTCGTGTGGTGATAGAGCAGCTGGTGCTGAGGCCACCCAATGGCGGGAAGCTTCTGGGTTGTAGCGAGATGTTGGCTTACAGATATACAGTACAGTACTCTACTATAAAACTCGACTGGACAAAAATTATGAAGAAAGCTTAATTCTCGAGTACTGTGTAAGATATATTTAGTGCCTTGGCATTCATTCTTATCATACCTCTATAATCAAAGCAAAGGGAAGCAATTCATGTACAGTATAAATACTAAACAAAACTCAAAGAACATATAGGCCAAATTAAAATTAATTTACTGTAGAGTAATTGTAAGCCACCTACATAAGTCCAACATGAAAAATGTGATGGAAAGAGTCTATATACCAGATGGGTTGCCAGAATTAGTCAAATGACTAAATTTAGGGCTTTTAAGCATTAGAAATATCATTGGACTACACTTTTCAATCTGACCCATCTAGCCTCTGGGTCATCTTCAGTGATCCATTCAACTTACAGTATGATATGCAAGCCAAGACAACATTGTTATATACTGTAACTGACAAAACTGTCACTGAGATACTTACAATAAATGTGAAATATTATGCTATATGAATTTCCAAAATACATGAAATCCAGCATATTATTGTCAACAGAGGCTGCTTTAAATGATGGGGTTAATCTCTATCAAAATGATTATTCAGTTTGGTAGGGTTGTTCCGTCACTAGGAACACACATTACACATATGGTGTGAATACTGTATTCATCCAGTAACCAATAAAAGAAGTTTTTAGCCTTAAAAACACAGAGACTAATCACATACATGTCATAGCTCCCCACCAGTTCGATAGGGCTGCTTCAGTACAATGCCCACATTACATATATACTCACTAGTTTACAAATAAAATCTTCAGCTTTACTAAACTACAGAACTCTTTGGGAGCTCAATTATAGGCCCAGTCAGTTGCCACTTGAAACTTTTCTGTAATTTCTTCAAGTAATTACATACTATGGCCTAAATCTTGAAGATACAGTGCTGTTCTTAAATAGCTTATCAATGATACTGTGGCCTTAATGAAATGCGTTATTTCTTACATTACCTTTCCTTCTATAAAATGTCATGAGAACTACTTACAAGAGCAACTCGAGTCTACACTGACAGGTTTTTGTGATTTTTTTTTTGCAAAGCCGTCATACCTCCACCAAGATGATGGGGTGGCTCTGCCTCTGGTTGACCTTGGCTCTCACTGCCTCTCAATAGAAATCACTACTAACATATGTCTAAAAATAGTTTTTGCTTCATTAATAACTGAAGTATGTTCAATACTTATCATTTTAAGATAAGATTTAGGTGCAGTTTAGAGTGAGGCAGTAGTACCATTTTTAGATTCAATTTTATGTTGATGGCAAACGGTCAATTAAAACGTGTCAAATGCCCAACAAAAAAGTGGTAAAAGGCCTCCAAAAAAGTGGCAAAAGGCCCACGAAAAAGTGGCAAACGGTCAACGAAAAAGTGGCAAACGGCCAACAAAAAAGTGGCAAATGCCCAACAAAATAGTTGCAAATGCCCAACAAAACAGTGCCAAACACCCACAAAAAAAAAAAAAGCCAAATGCCAAATAAAACATTGGAGCATTTGGATTTTCCTTTGTTGGGCATTTGGCACTTTTTTGCTGGCATTTTGGATTTTTTTGGGTCATTTTGGATTTTTCTGTTGGGCATTTTGGATTTTTTGTTGGGCATTTTGTATGTTTTTTGTTGTGCATTTTGAAATGTTTTGGTGGGCATTTTGAAATGTTTTGTTGGTCATTTGCCACTTTTCTGTTGGGCCTTTGCCACTTTTTTGTTGGGCATTTGCCACTTTTCTGTCAGGCATTTGCCCCTTTTTATTTTGTTGAAATTATTGTTGGAAGTTTAGCATATTTTTTTTTTGGCTATTTGGCACTTTTTGTCAACATGTTTTAGATTTTCGTTGATCATTTGCCACTTTTTTGTTGGGTGCTTGCCACTTTTCTAATTGACATTTGCCTCTTTTTTGGGGGGAGGAGGGGGGTCTTTACCATGTTTTGTTGGGCATTTTAAAATGTTTTGTTAGGCATTTTAAATTTTTTTGTTGGGAGTTTTGAATTTTTTTGTTGGGTGTTTACCACTGTTTTGTTGGGACTTTTCTGCTGGGCGTTGGCCACTTTTTTGTTGGGCATTGGCCAATTTTCTGTTGGGCATTTGACCTTTTTCTGTTGGGCATTTGCCATTTTACTGTTGGGTGTTTGGCACTTTTTTTGTTGGGCATTTGCCACTTTTCTGTCGGGTGTTTGCCACTTTTCTGTCGGGTGTTTGCCACTTTTTTGTTGGCCATTTACCACTTTTCTGTCGGGTGTTTGCCACTTTTTTGTTGGGCATTTGCCACTTTTCTGTTGGGTGTTTGCCGGGGGGGGGGGGGGGGGGGGAGGCATTTGCCACATTTTTTGTTGGGAGCTTAAAGATTATTGTTGGACGTTTAGCATTTTTTGTTGTAACGGGGGGTGGGGGAAATAGCTCTATCTTGTCCATTATTCCACCCCCCAGTTAACTAACGAGGCCGGGGAAACAGCTCTCTCTAGTCCGTTATCCCGTCCCCAGTTAGCTAACTATTCTAGAGCACCTCCAGAGTTCCTAAGGCAACCTCTCTCGTTCAACACCTTGTAACCTAGGTATTAGACTACCTAGGTGCTAAGACTACAAGGCGCCGTAACTGGATCAGCTACCCGAAACTCTAGAGAGAACTCTAGAATACAGAATCATTGCCACCAACGTATAAGAGAAAACTAAAGGAAAGAAATGAATAGTGAAGTAATTAGTGAGGGTTTGGGGTGAGAGGGAGAGAGGTGGGAGGAGCGAGGAGGGTCATTAGTTGAAAGTGAGAGTTCAGAGAGGGGTGGAGGGAGAGGTGTAGATAGGTAGAAGGAGAAGAGTAGATAGTAGAAGTAGAAGAGTAGATA